TCCCACAGTTGATTTTTATATTCTAGGTATTATCAAATGGCCAGAGTTTTGAGAACACAGCGGATGTGAAGGACTATAGTGCGATAAGAGCTCACTCAAGTACTGAGAAGCTAAACCATTCAGGGCTTTATAAGTAATTAGCAAGATTTTGAAATGTACACAATGTTTAATAGGGAGCCAGTGCAGAGTTGACAGAACCGGGCTAATATGGTAATACTTCATGGTTCTAGTAGGAACTCTAGCTGCTGCATTTTGGACCAGCTGGAGTTTGTTTATTAAGCGTACACAACGGAATATGAAAAACAGTAAGTTTCTCATTTAAGTCAGTTGATCATTGATTCAGTGATGTCATTGTCCAGCTCAGTTCAGTTCTCTTTAAAAAGTGTCAGTGCAATCAAGTCGACAATACTGCCAAAAATGAAGCGCATTATCAAATGGCCAGAGTTTTGAGAACACAGCAGATATGTAGGACTATAATGCGATAAGAGCTTGCTCAAGTACTGAGGAGCTAAAACATTCAGGGCTTTGTAAGTAATTCTCAAGATTTTAAAATATATACGATGTGTAATAGGGAGCCAGTGCAGTATTGACAGAACAAGGCTAATATGTTCATACTTCCTTGTTCTAATGAGAACTCTAGCTGCTGCATTTTGGACCAGTTGGGGTTTGTTTAAGCACACAGAGCAACCATCCAATGAAGCATTTCAATAATCTAACCTTGAGGTCATGAACACATGAATTAACGTTTCTGCATTTGACATTGAGAGCATAGGTCTTAATTTAGATATATTTTTGAGATGGAAAAATGCGGTTTTACAAATGCTAAAAACATGGCTTTTGAAGGAAATATTGTTATCAAATAGCACACCTAGGTTCCTAACTGGTTATGATGAATTAACAGAGCAGCCATCAAGTGTTAGACAGTATTCTAGGACATTACATGCAGGGTTTTTGGCCCGATAATTTATTTTTTCTGAATTTAGCAGTAAGAAATTACTAGTCATCCAGTTTTTTATATCAACTATGCATTCCGTTAGTTTTGCAAATTGATATGTTTTGTCAGGCCACGAAGAAATATAGAGCTGAGTATCATCAGCATAACAGTGAAAGCTAACTCCATGTTTCCTGATGATATCTCCCAAGGGTAACATATAAAGCATGAAAAGCAATGGTCCTAGTACTGAGCCTTGAGGTACTCTATACTGCACTTGTGATCTGTATGATACCTCTTCATTCACTGCTACGAACTGATCATGGTCAGATAAGTATGATTTGAACCATGCCAATGTACTTCGACTAATGCTAACATAATTTTCTAGTCTATTCAAAAGAATGTTGTGGTCGATAGTGTCGAATGCAGTGCTAAGATCCAGTAGCACTGATAGTGAGATACAACCACATTTGGATGATAAGAGCAGGTCATTTGTAACTCTAATAAGAGCAGTCTCAATACTATGATACAGTCTAAATCCGGACTGGAAAACCTCATAGATACCATTTTTCTCTAGGAAGGAAAATAGTTGTGAGGATACTACCTTTTCTAGTATCTTTGACAGAAAAGGGAGATTAGAGATCGGTCTGTAATTAACTAATTATTTTTAATTAAGTTGTGGTCAAGTTGTGTTTTATTTATAAGAGGCTTAATAACAGCAAGTTTGAAGGTATTTGGGACACATCCTAATGACAATGACGAATTTATAATAGTTAGAAGGGGTCTATGGCAGGGTTCCTCAATTAGTTTTCGCTGAGGGCCGAATTTTGCCAACAATACCAAGCCAAGGGCCACTGACCTATATACAGTATGTATATATATATATATATATATATATATATATAT